ACCATAAACCTTTCTCGCCAAACAGTGAGCCCTTGAATTGCGCGAAGTCGTCCAGCTACGGAACAGACAGATTACACCTCAATAAGTTTGGAAATTTGGGGAGATTACTCGTCCTTTTAGAGTAACCATGATGACGGATTCGCAAAGCATCATCAGGACAGCGACCAGAACAGAAATATACAGTTCTGGCGTCGAATAACAGTAAAATATCCTTGGTTAGACTGGCTTAAAAGTGCAAAATCTTAGCCATTTTAACAGTTTGGGGAAAAAAACAGTTTTCCGGACCATGTTCTTCTCGATCGGAAGGTGTAAAGGACTCATGGAACGCTGTTATTCAATGTCAAATAGATCTGCACCTTATCAACGAAACCAAGGAAGATTCTACCATATCCTCTTGCCTCTTCCAGCAAAAGGAGCACCTAATAAGGAAAACATTCCAAAAAATGCTGTTTTCCAATTTCTAACGCTCATTTACAATAAATAAATTACGTGAAAGCCAACTCCAAAAGGTGATCAGTCAACCAAGTAGGTGGTGAAACTTTTTGCAAACATTCAATTGCAAAAAAAAGTTATAAAACGCCACCAATTTTAATGTGCAACAACTTCGTACCAACGGAGAAAGTGACACGCCAAAACAGAAGCACCTCCGGTGTTTTTCACCTGTCAGCAGCTTGGCCAAAGTGAGCATCCGTAGGATGAATTAAGTTGAACTGGCAACCACGCAAAGCCCTACTCAAGCAAGAAGCCATTAGTTGTCAGGTAACCGAAGAGGTTTAGCACCTTGGCTCTATAGTCAAGAGATCGAATCCAAGCTTATAATTGTGTTTGTGAGTTAGTAGGGGTCTGAAGTAATTCATAATTTCCATCTCCTATAAACCGACAAAACAAATAATAAGATCCTTGCAATAGCCGCAGGAAGAGCGAAGCAGAGCCTTTGCAGTAAGCATGTGAGTACCGTACAACAACGTGTCCGCAAAATTTTAGACGAGAAGCACAGTAAACGATGGCGTAAGAACTGATACATTAAGGTAGTTGCTATATCTAGTGCTTGGAAGCGGTGGCATAGAAAATGAAGAAAAACGCAGGATATATGGCCACCCAACATTGGCAGCCTGGAGCTACTTTTAGGTGACCTTTGGGGTGCATTTTGGACACTAGAGGGATCTGCTTTGAGGCGATTCTCCTGATTCGAAAAAAAAGCCATTTCGTAGACCAAGCAATCAATCAAAAGTTGAAATGACGCGCTTCAGTCAACTGCAAACAGCAAAGTGGTGAGACGCACTGCAAGCTTCGGCAATAAGATTTTAGTCCGAAAGACATAACTTGTCGTTTTAGAAGCATACACTTCCCTCTGCATAAACTTCATGTCAGTTTCCTTTTTATTCCAGAAAAACGAACCTCTAAAGCTAGTTTGAATAAAGCAAATATGTGGGCATGAAGTCGAAATAAGAGGAGAGCTGAAAGTGGAATTGCAGATAGGATCTGGAACGATAAAGTATGAAGCGTCCCATTTATCCGCCAAATAGGTTCCAAATCAACTTCTCATGCATAGTACAAGTTATTCATGTTTTAGAAACATGTCTCAATGCGCCTGCATTAGATCACTTAGAGGCATCAAATTTGACGGATAAAGCATTTTTTAACAAGTTGGAAGCTCCACGCCTTTATTTATAGATCTGAGGGCTGTCACTGCTTACTTTGATGAGACAGTGAAAAACCGTTTTCGACATTTCTGCCACTAAGCCGGACCTTCTTACTCCAGATGTAGAAGAGGAAATCAGAATTCCATATTGGTATTTGAGTATTTCATCCCCAACTACTTAGTATTCCAGTTTTTCAGTACTCAAATTCATCATAACATTTCCAGGAGATTCAGCCAATCGAAAAAAGGACGAGCTCAACTGTAGCTGTGAAGGGCAGAGCTGTCCGAGCTGCCAGGGATCAACTGCATTCCTTTATATTTTTTGCTAAGTGAATACTAAGTCTTCCAGAAAGGAAACAACTTTTTGAACTGTAAAACGCTTTTCGATCTGATTTAATTATTACTTGAGCACTTCAAGTCAGCCAGTCCGAAGAGCATGGTATGGCGGATAGAGATGAGAACGCTGAATAGCATTCGCGCTTTCCAGTCTGAGGGTCTTTTGACCTTCTGGAGGGACAATTTGCCGAATTGTCTGGATTACCTCTTCACTCTTAATTTTGCCTTCGAGAAAAGGTTAAGGCCGCAACAATGCCTCAAAAGGACGATCCCTGTGCTATTGCATTTATGGTAAATTTTGTCACCGGTGCTCTTTCGCTCGCTTTTGTATATGCAGTGAATTATTGCTCAAATTGGCACCCCAACAAGGGCAGGTGCAGTAGATCAAGAACGTTGAAGCGGTCACTTGCCGGTGCAAAGGAGCCCACAATTTATATCGTCAAAGGTTGACAAGCCCAAATCTTTCAGAGAATGTCCAACTTTTGGCAGGCATAAATAACCCAAACTAGGATAGTGAAAAGGTAATTACTCAACGCAAATCAGTCCAACAAAACGGTCTATCACTTTTTCTTAACTTTTGAAAAATATAATAGATTTGCGTCCAGCAAAAAACCACTTGAGGGAACAAGTTTCTACCCGCTCCAAAACAATAGAAGTCTAGGGAATGTCGGCTATCAAATGCTTAATTGATAAGTATAGCGATCAAGCGCACGTCGAGACGGTTTGGAGCAAGAGAAGCAAGTCAAGTGGGGAAAGAATCGTCCAATAAATCAGTCCAGACTACAGGACTTCGCTCACGTCCATAATCAAATAGGATAGCACGAGATCTACCTTTCTCGTATAATCACATCAATGCTACAGTTGCAGCACAGCCCGGTGTAATGAAAATAAATGAAAAATACTAATTAAATGATGTAGGTGACGCAAACAACATAACCGCCGTTCTGCACTAAAAAAAGCATAAGAGAACGCAATCGTGTTACGACCTTAAAGACTCAAAATATGCGCGAGGTAAGTGTCCATTCGCACCGCGAATATACTGTCGTACTTCATCGTAAGTCAATCTGATTTCCTCTTCGGAGAGTGAAAATGAAGGCGGCAAGGTGTTGAATCACCAGCGATGGTTATTAGACACTGTGAACCATTCAACCATATTTTGCTGCAACCTTCAAATCAAAGGAATAGCCTTCAGCGTTGGATAAGTTACCTATTTTACACAAATCAAAGAATTTCTCTTACATCTTAAAAGTTGGCGCAAGCAAATGTGACTTCATCAAAATCGTCACAATAAGCACGCCAGCTTTATCCTAGGCTCTAGCAGGCAGATATCTAGCAAGAATACGATCATGATTAACGTCTCGACTTTACATCTATTTCTATACCACTTGTAATCTGCGAAGCATGTTGACTTGGCGAGTTCTGCAAGACTGAAAAATCATGCTTAATCGATCTGAGGAGTCTGATTTATGACCTCGGACTCCTAGCCTTGAGAAGCAGATCTTCCAAGTCACTCTTTTCTGAATCTTTAACACAAAATAACCAATGGTCTTAAAGTATTCATGCTAATTAACTAAAAAAACAACTTGTTCAATCAAAAAAATATCGGAATAAATGATCGCCTGGGTAACGCTGAGCACCCGCCTTACCAGGTAGTTTGTTAAAGACTAATGCTATTTTAGACACTAGGCAGAATATAGACGCGATTTCGTCCAAAATTTTTGCTCTTGGCATAGCGACAGGAAATGTCATTAGTCTATTAAGTGATGCAGCGTTGTATAGACAATCAAACTCATCTGGGAAGACATGGTGTGAAAATCTCTCAATGTATAGCGACACACGCCCTTAAGCTCAGTTTCAATTCAGAGATATCCGAAAGCATCCCTTCATTGCTAGCAAGAACCAAGCATGTCAAGGGGTGCCAATCCTCGGATCGCATACATCAGCATCCACCGCCTCTAGCATTAGTAATCCAGTAGTTATGGGAAATGCGGGACAGAATGCGTTTAATTGTAGGTAAACCGGTTTCAAGATTGGCCTGTGTTCTCACCAAAACTTGGTAACTTAGTAACTTTTGCCGCAAAAAAACAGGATGCAACAGATTTCCTCTGAAAGTGTGTTGATTGCATTCATTCGTAGTTTCAGGTGGATGCCTTTTATGTGTATGCGATTTTTTTGATGGGCATCGCATTTGTGGAGTACGTATAACGAAGACAGGCAGTCGTCTTGGTCTCCTCTTCAAATCAGAAAGCTGTCGAGATTTCAAAACGACAGAGGATTTCGTATGTTAGTAGTACTACAGTAGAAAACAATCGTAGTGTCATCTTACTCTGCGAGACTAATGAAAATGGTTAGTAGTAGTATCAGGTCCTACTTATGTTAAAAAATTATACCGGTGTAATTGGTTGCGATAGAGAGAGAAGGATCAGACCATACAGGAAAACTCGTGCGCTTACCACTGGTTGTTAAACAGACGATTTGGTTGCAGTGACGGATAGAATCAAATAAGACAGAAAAATGCTTAGTCGCACAGGTCATGGGAGACAAGGCAATTCTAGGCTTAAACAAATAGCAAATGTACAAAATCCTTATAGTAATCAGTCTCCCAATGATACCTCGGCATACGAGATCTTCAATACAAATGGCAGGAATCCCAACTGCACAGCACGTTTAAGACAGCTTGACTGATTAATTTACCCGAAAATGGTGACGACTTAATCCTAAGCCAATGGTGAAGTACAGCAAGGTTGAGGTAGGTAAACTGCAGAAAAGTAGACCATGTTTATGTGATAAGTCTGGCTGGGTGTTGAATGAGAGGCTTTATTTAAACACCCTGCGCCAGTCAATAGATTAGCACGCAACACCGAACGCTTTCTTTCATGTCGTGACAAATTTGCTATGAAGCCGTCATATTAAACAGTGATTTAGGGGACTTAATGAAGGGGATAAAGTTGAGACACCAATTAGGGTTCCGATGACGGACGAATGGAGGTTTAAGTAAGATGTAAGATGTAAGGTCCGGAAATTAACGTCCAAACGACCTGGAGAGAGTTGCAGAGGTGTAAGTAGCTGCACTTGAAGGAAAAGATGTAGCCTTCTCAACCTGAGAGCAAACAAAGTTCTTCATACAAGCCTGCGTCCCACTGCACCTAAGTAATGCCTAATAAAGGGCAAATGTGGGCAAAGTACGTTCAAATGGATCCGGAGAGGTGATTCAGATTAAGCATCGCTGATGCCCGTGTGCCGAATTTTCCACACACTTGGCTCCATTGTGTGTCTATACTGTACTGAGTCACCACAACCTTGGACGGTCATAAAAGGGTAGACAGTCCGGACAACACAGATGCGACGCGGAGACCAGACGCACCCGAATAGACCCCTTTACCTCTCCCAGTCTGGCGTGCTAGCCAAAGCACGTACCCAATACGCGCATACAGTAGAGGGACACGACAACATAAATCAAAACTACCTCATGGATTATTGAAAATAGGATTGGTCTGCCAGCTTTTCGACCACTTGGCTGATTGCTTGCACTATATGAAATGCGATAAACGAAATGTAGACAACCTCATATACTATTGTGCCATGAGAGATAAAATCTCCTGAAAGGGCTTGCAAAAATTATGAAGCGAAACAAATGCCTTGTACAAGAGTAAACGCGTGGGTAAGTGGCAAATTGTATTTCACTGTGTAAATAGATTCCAGTCTACCCATAATGAGGCTATAAGTAATGAAAAGTTGTCGGGCCCATTCTCCAAAATGATTCCATCTAGATGTGCGCACGAATTTATAGGAGTAGAGGCGGTATAGTTGATGCCTCCTAAACACTTACTACCAGCATCAAAGAGCAAAATCGACTACCACAATAGGGTCGTTTTATTGTTCTAACATGACGCCAATAATTGTACACTACCGAACCGAAATATTTCGCCTCGGCTCGACAACTAAGAGATGTAATTATCCTTAGGCCAACACCGAGTAGTGTCCTAATGGGTTCAAAGAAATGATGGAGTCACCAAAAACTGACGCACTACCTAGTGCCAGCCCTGAGAGTAATTTCCGAATTTCGACAAAACTTTAGTTAATGTTATTGAAGGGGGTGATTTGAGGCGAAGCAGTCACTTTCCATCTAAAACGGCGATAGCCAAGGCGCTTAAACAAAAAACACTGCCGCGCCTTACTTTCCCAAATTTTTACAAAACAGTACATCGCAGTCCACAAAAATAAAACCAGGGAGAAACCGAATGCTTTGCGTTTAAGTTAGAGGCCCAGGATATGCAATAAGAAACATGTGTGGAAAGTCGGATCTTCTCTCTAATACCCAACAGGCACGACAGTTGGCGGACAGGATTCCAGTTTTCACCTGTGAATGCTAAGATTAATCAACAAGCAGGTGGCACTTATGATGACATTGGTGAGGATGAGGAATGCAAATAGGATGCGAATTGTTGACGTCTTCAAACCCTTTAAGGGTGGTGAGACCGCAACACACCAATCAAAGAACGTGAATGTTTTAGGTCCGAGAGGTCACATCTTGAAATGGCATTAACACGAAAGAACCAATGGTTAATCAGTTATGAGAGGAGGCAAATGTATATCCCAAATTGCTACATGTGCAATAAAAATAAAAATAGTAAAGATAAATAGGCAAAGGCGCACAATAACTTGTAACAAAAGTTGCTTCATTTGAAGCCGATGAGAAAGAATCTAGCAAACCTCAAGCTCGACTAACTGCCCACTACAGGATAGGCCGCAAGACACTTTTGGGCAGGGGGAGATAAAAAACCGGCTTGCAGAGTTAACAAATTTCACCTAAAGTGGAAAGTGTTCAAGAAGCACAGCTTTCCAAGAATAAGGAGTAGTTATAGTTAAATGAAACATTCAAGATTACATTCAAGCGCGAGAATTTGTTGGCTCTCAGAACTGTCAATAATGGCGTCTTTCGACAATTATCTGGGTAATAAGAGTAAGGCTAACCAGAAAGCATGGAAAATGAAACACCAATAGTTTATTGAATCTTAACAAAAATGAAATGGTACCTTAAAAGTGAATGGATAACTGTCCGGCCCCAGCTTTCGGATGAGACGCTCTTGAAGTCGAGAAATTTTCGAGTGTGAAGCGCTCTCGTCCATTGAACCAGATGGTGGATATACTTGTTTGGTGTTGAGAAAGAGATCTCTGTGCCAATCAATACCATGGAACTCATCTCCATCGCGACCATGCCGAAAAGCGCAAAGCAGATGTATAAAAACCTTGCGACCCTTAACGTATTCTGCATCGACTAGCACGACGCCTTCTAAAGGAGATGAAAATACCTGGTTGTCAGAGGGCACCACGAAATTCCAGCACTTTAAACAAAACCAACCAACTGGATCCACATGTGTTAGGTGGTCGATAAAGTCACGTTTCCCAAGATAGACAGTGACCTAATGCAGGTACGATTGCTAAAAGTTTCCCATACCTTTCCGTTTGGTGTGGACTTTTTAAAAATCCTTAAGAATAGCAAAAATGGACCGAAAAATACCTTGTTCCATGTCGTTTGGATTCATCCATTGTAAATAATAGGAGTGTGGGATTATGTATGGACTTCCTACTAGAAGAACCGCAACCAAAAGCCAAGTAAATTTTCGCTAAAGCATGCAAACGTGTTGTAAAATTTATCACCATGTACCCCACGTTATATTGGACCCGGGACTAAGATGCCTCTACCCGTTATGGACAGTCATGACACGACGAAGTAAGGTCGAATGGTGTTTAACTTGGGTGATCTATAAACACTGCAGCAGAATACCAAGGTCAAGATACTAAAAGAATAAAAATTATTCGAATTACAATAAGGCATATATACATAAAAATATGTGTTTGATTGCTTATTTATAGCTTTTTTTGCAAAATGTATTATTTTATTGCCCTAAAATTGCTTTTTAATCAGGGGGCTTAATTTTTGCTTTGAACAACATGGATTAATCTCAAATATAAATCGAAATTTTGATAATATTGAACAGCGTTTGTGGCTGCCTGCAGAGACTGAGTGTTTCCTCTCTTGCCCTTGAGCCAATGACTTCAAAAGAGGGCTGGTTGCAGTTGAGCTATTAGGCATTGGTTAGAGAAAGGATGGGTATAGGAGAACAGATGAACAGATGACATGAGGATAGGCAAGCAGCTTCTACAGCTAAATTTAAGGCTAGTTAACTTTATTAAACAAATTTAAAGAGTCAAAACTCAGATATGAACAAAAAAACAATTTTAACTCTAGTATGTGACCACTTGCATAAAGAGTGGTCACTTTGATATAAATGGCCCGAGACTACTTACAAGGAAATAGAAGTTGGGTAGAATATAAGCATTCAAAGAAAAGAAGAAAATTAGGATCTTGACTTTACCCCAAGGCCAGTGCACCCGTAAAACAGCAAGGAAAATGCCAAAGTGATCACCAGACATAAGATATCCACATAAACAAGGTAGTGCATTAGCATTCCCTTCCTTTAAATCACGTTCTTAGCGGTCCTCCTGGTTTACCTCTCACATCAGCTACAACTGCAGTTGCGGTGCCACAAGTAAACATTCACGTTCTAACCGCCCCAGTCATCAACCACCATGGGATCGACCAACAGTACCTGGCCACTTCAGTGACTTCAGCTTGATCTGGTGTCGCATTTGGTCTATAGAGAGGAATCGCAGCGAAAGTTTCTGCTGACCATCAATAGTGTTCAAAAAAGGAATGGGGTCAAGATCAACTTTACGGAGTAGTCTCGTTTATAATATCTATTCTCTGGTGCAAAAAAATTTCTGAACCGTAATTTTTACAGATGGCTCATGGCTTGTCTGTGGAATACGGGGACAAGGGGAAAATTAAAGCGGACATAATTCTTAACACTTTTGTCTCCCAACCAAAGTAAATGAGCCTCATCCGCACCGTATATGTGCCACAAATAATGGGGACTAGGATAGTTGAGATAGCAATAACGATCCCAGTTCCACTTCCAAAATGCAGCGTCCCGAGTCTTTCATCTAGGAAGGAGAAGGCAATACGTTTGTCTTAATGTACAAATTTCAGGGAGGTTGAAACTAATTGACTTTAACTTGCCTCGAATGACAGGGCACGAAGAAGTCAAAGTAAACACCAGATATCAGGTGACCACATAAACAAGATACAATTTTCATATTTGTCTAACGCTTGTGAGCTTAAGATGGCCAATAGAAAATCTCTTTCTCCTCTCCTTAATGCATATACCCGGCCCTATTCATGCTTCCTCCACCTGATGGGAAATCTCAGGACACTACACTGCTGGCAACGAAAAGCGAACCCAATTTCGCGATTACTACTCTTCTGGTGTCCACCGTTTGTGACATACCTCTGAAATGTGGAGGAAGCGCATACACTTCGGATAGGAGCTCCTCTCAATCATTCACAGCAAAAGAGTTGACAATGATGTCAGCATTTGACTCTATCTCATCCCCGTGGGGCAAGGCAAGCTATTGACAACTGGATTAGCACCACGTAAACCATCCGGAAAGGCATCCTTTCAGGGTTCTCCACGATGATGCTTTGTCCTCCTCTCTCCCATACGGGACTGTGCTTGATCCCGTCCTCCCTGATACATATCTCTTTTCGACCAGTGTCGTGATATCTCTCCTTGGGCGCAATAGATGATTGGCAGAAGAATGACATCCTGATTCCTGCTTTTAGACCGCGCACAACGACAGATCTGGTCGAAGTTGCTGAGACGGCCATACACAATTGCTCAGTTACATGGTAGCTGATGACTGGCGCGGTTAGCTCGTGGATGGTTCCTCGAAGTACTGAATATACCGTGGCGGTTGGCGTGGAAGGTACACCAACGAGAGCCTCGAGGACACCATTAGAAAGGAGAGAGGGCTGGTGTAATACTCTGTTTATGTGACCATCTGTATATATGGCGGTTAATTTGGTATTTGTCTTGCTCTTGTGCGCGTGGTCTGGTCTTTGGGTCGAGTAGTAGCCCAATCCCTCCTATTTCTCTATGACTACATGTATTTAGCCCTATCTAGTTTTGTTTTTAATACGTGAAAGGTTTTAGGACACCACTTAAAGGACCTACGAGGCTCAAACACATCCTTAGGGTGCTATGTTCGATTTCTATTTCTGTACGTCACTCTCAATGGATACTTTACACAAACAATATTACGGAATTGTTACCACATTTATGTTTATAACCTATGCTTAATTTGTAAAGCTTTGAACGCAATCGTGCATACCTTTTAAGATTTGCTTTGCTCCGAATACACATCCAACCTAACTACTGTGTATTTTAACGACTCTAATCAGCTTTAAAAATTACTGTGACCTCCGCTATTATTACTATCAATAATCTTTTAACCAGACCGCTTTGCTGAGATTACGCTGCTTAGCAATCCATGTGGCTTCTTTGACAGATTTCCGATTGCAACTAGCTAAATACTACCAAATCCAATAGTAATGACGCGTCGTGTAGTTCGCTTAGTGTGTGCTGACGACTTTGGGGGGTAATGTATGTGGCAAGTGTCGGGCAAAATGTAACGAGTTACTTGATTTTAGGGCATATAATTCACCCTTTGGCGATGAGAAGTGAGTGCAAATTGTCCTATGTGTTGCTCTAAAATTGTACATGACAGTCCCCGGTGATTACTTTTCCTTCCTATTGAGCGTATTTGATACCCTTCAAACCTCGCAATAGTGCTCATTTTTTATCGGGCACATTATCGTACTTGTCTCAAGATTGTTTATTCTGATTATATGAATCTAGTTGTCAATTATAGAAGTATGCCAAATCTCGTTACTGCGGCACCGTTCTCAATGCTTTCTGACTAGCAAGGGGTGTCTGATTACAAGGAGAATATCCGTCATGTTTTATGCATTTCCGCCCTTTCAAACGGTATACCACTCATCTCAATTTCAGTGCTCAAAGCTATGCCTACTCTGGTCGTGACAGAATTCAACAGCAACAGGCTGAGGTGAATGAAGTGGTTGGGATCATGAAAGACAATGTCGCACGGGTTTTGGAAAGAGATCAAAGGCTATCGGACCTCGACCATCGGGCCGGTGAGTAATAAACTGTTTATCGGGCACGTTGTAGTATGCACGGCGGCGGGAACCGTGTTGGCATTTACGCCTCATTTTGCTAATTTTTCATCTTTTTATAATCAACAGTAGTTGCTCTTTTGAATATCTTAGCCTTTCGATTCAATAATAAGTGAATCTACGCTTATTTTGTGTCACCTGTACACATTTTCCTAGATGAACTTCAAGTGCATTCAAGGGAATTTGAATCGATTTCGCGAAACATCCAAAGGAAATATTTTTGGAGAAATATGAAGGTTAGTCTGGAATGCTTGCTTTTTGTTGGAATGACTTCTAAGTCTTAAAAATCTTTATACAGTGTGTTTGGATTATTTGCTAGTGTGCTTGCTTGAAATTACTCGGTGTGTACTTGAATTAGTGTTACATAAGGTCGGTGCTGTGTTCTGCTGCTTCTACTGTCCTTTTCCTTTATTTACCGATCGTCTTCGTTTTTACAGATGTGGGGCATAATCGCTGGTGTCATCATTGTCCTGATCATTGTTATTATTAGTAAGTTTATGCTTCAAGGCGGGACATTTTATGTAGCAAAACCTTCGGCAGTTTATGGTCACTCAAGTTTGCCTTCATGGTTCCTGCCTGCCTAGCCTTTTAACCATCCATTTGCTGTTTTGGTTGATATGATTCTCGCCAAGTCTGGTGGTTCCGTTGAGAAAGCCAACCTTTTTTAGTTTGGGCAACTGCGGGTCACTCGTAGAGGCCAGGACTTCGCTATATTCCGCCGTCGCGCCTCTCCCCTTGTTACTCTTTCATTGATGTACATTGCCAGAAAGCAAAAGTCGTAGTTGGGCTTTCGCAATTCTCTTTATCGTTATTTCGCATCCATCCACTTGTTTAATTCCTTATATGCGTTATATTCTGTAAAGTACCCTATTTCGTCGTGGTTGCACGGTGTTCTCATTGCTTCAATTTCATTCAGAATCATTACGGTTTAAATGTAACGTCTGGATCTCATTCGGGTATTGCAATTAGTATTTTATGCGGATGAGAAGTGGATTATCTTTGGCTGCTTATTCGCCAAAAGGGTCCGGTGAGGTGGAAGCGCGGCGGGGTTAGGTCTGCTACTGGCTCCGCTAAACTAGGTGGGAAGAATTCAATCATGGTTGCGGGGTGCGAGGCGGGTCTTGGTATGCGTTTGTGTCCTTGCGCTGAGCTGGATCTCTGGTGTGGGTGTCGTAATGTGCGGGGTCGTGCATTTTATGAGGGAGAAGGGGAGCCAGCAAATGGTCTCATGACGCGGTGGTGAGCTCGAGTCGCAGTGGGAGTTTGATCGCGACTGCCTATTGCAACTTCATTGCCCTCTTCACATTGCTTTGTGTGGGTTTGTAAAATCGTTTAGCTCATTCGAAATTCTGTCGCTCGATACCAATTAGAAGTTGGGCTTAGCTAATTAATTCCCAGAGTATGGTAGAGGCTGAGTTCCCATTTTTCGTTTCGCGAAGTGATTTATGATGCCGTTCAACGCACCTGCCTCAACATAGGGTATTTATTGAGCTCATGTGTCAACATTCTCGATGTAAGGGAACATTTTTTTGACGTCGACATTAAATGTGGAATGCATCACAAAATCACCTCAATTTGTTTATCTGATCCCAATTAGTGTGTAGACTACAACAACACACTTCTAAATCTCTTTCTTGTATGGACGCTGCATGGGTAGCCATCAAAAAGGAAATTGATTCTCTGGACGAAGGAATATTAAAACTCCACCTTTCTGAAGCCTTATCAATTGTCGAAAAAATTGAGTTCATCCGCCACTTACGGGCCAAAAATAATTCGATATTGGACTTCTTTGCTAATTATCACAAAAATGGAGCAGGTGGTATTTCATTGATAAATTTTATTTGGTAATGGATTGCTTCCCTACCTTTTATTAATAAATTTAACGATTTGGGCGAATATTTAATAAAGAGCATAATTTGTGAGACTTAGGGCTGGAATAAGAAATTGGAAGTGCGATTTGGAATTCCAGTCCAGTTTTTAATGCTCAACTGGCATTTGGGTCTCTGATTCAAGCCGTAGGTGTTTCTATACCTTCAGCCTCTAGTGCTTCTTTAAAATAGCCGCTTATACGTGGTACTATTTAGTGCACGGTCGAGACATCCCCTGGGGACGTCTTAGGTTTTGCTGCTTTTCGGTTGCACTAACCTCGAGTAGCGTCATTGCTTGCGTGACTGTTCCTCAGAAAACCACTGTTCTATCTATTTTGAGGATGAAAGTTGGTCTACAGTCCATAGTTAAAGGCGTTTTTGCTTAAGCTTTAAGATGCTTAGTGATTCACATTAATTTTCTGGTCTGTAATTTGCGCTGCGCTTGCACAACTTTTATCAGCTTTCGTAAGTTAAGCCAAATAATCTTTGAAGACACTGAAACCCTCAATGGAAGTACATTTATGCCTATGTCAGTTTGCGCATGCAATATGCATTAGTTTGAGATTTTACGCGATCCTTTTTTGTCCTAACTTGTTTGAATGTTGGATGTCTTTACTATGCCATTTAAGAATTTCGAAATGTAAGAACTGCATGAAATATTGTTTTTTTAACCAAACTTTTAATACGATATCAGACTTAGATGGCAGGAAGTCCTCCGAATTAGCATCTACTAACATAAACCCACTATGTCTACAAAAGCGTGGCAAGGCGCAGTAAGTTTTGTCATTCATTTCAATCAACTCGTAATTGTGCAGTCTTCGTTGTGTTAAATTTCGCGAGGAGTATTTACAAGAGAAGCAGAAGCGCTGTCTTGAGGAGCTGAAGGAGCTGAGCAAATGCCAACAATTCAAATTTACGCCTCCACCGTCTCACACTTATCTTAAACTCTACCCCAATGTGGTTGTAAAGAAGAAAAAAGAACGTCCAAAGTCAATGGTAAGGTGACAGCCCACATGCTCTTTGTGGGAGCTGATTGTTAAAGCCCTTTTCTGGAAAATACACGCTACTTATAATGATTCAGTAGGGAGTATATGATGTAACTTGTTTTTATGCAGCGTTCAACTACGGGAAACCCTAAAGCATAATATTCTCGTGCATTTAACACAAAGTTCCATGGATTGTCGGAACTGAAATGGTGTAAGGACTACACCCAATGAAATGTTCAATGTTTGTGAGATGTGCTTGCAAACAGCAGCGAGGTAATGATATCACCTTGCATTTTGGATAAGGTAGGTTTCCTCCGGAATTAAGAGAATGAGGAATTGGGAAAAGCTGGCAGAACGATCAAAAATGTTCTACACTCGAATTGATTTGTTGTACTCATAAGAGCGGCAACAAGTTTTCGTATCGAAAGGCGAGGAAATGGGGTGCTAGTGTCTCGCTTAGATCTGTCCTTAATTATCACCTGTAGTGATTTTCAGGTTAATTTGATATCCCATAGGGTGTATCATAAGGGTTCTTTTGAGCTGTAGTTCATGTCATTGAACAAAGTATATTTTTTATAAGTAATGGCTAAGGGTTGGTTTTCCCATAAAATCAAGCAAACACCTCTCTAAATGGGTTTTCTAATTCTTGCCATTACGTCATTTCCAGGCCCCACTTATATCCTAACCAATCAACAAATTTGGTGCCTCCTTAGGGGATCAAATCACCTGAGCCTTATTAGAAGGACGCAGTCTCCCCTACTCTACCTCTAGTTTAGTGAGAAGACCAATAGGGTCATTAGCATGAGTACAGGTGTCCCTTAAAGAGGTGCCCTTTGCTCATTCAATTTAAATTCATTGGGTGTCCACAGGCACAGTCCTCCTTGTCATCTGACTAATGCAGAATTCATATGTAAGTTGTTTTAGTATTAAAGCTTAGGGAGGGTAACTGTAACTGTGTGAACGAACTTTTCACATTGCATACTTTCTACTTGATGCTTTTTCATGGGTGCTTTGTTATTGGTGCAAGAAAGGATTGGGAAATGTGAGCACGCAAAATAGGAAGCAAACGGGCTGTCGACCAGCACATGAGCTAATGGGCTATTGGTGGGGAGATTCCCCAATACCTTCACCAAATTAATAGCAGTAGATTTAGGATTGAGTTATTTTTTCTTGGGATGCTTTTTCAAATGTCTGGTCAACTTCTCGATGTCCAGGTGTGCACACCAATGTTGAACTTTAAACGTTCAATGCAGGCCAACTTTGCTGATAGGTTGGGGGGAAGGAGAAAACCACACCATTAAAATGGCAAAAAGGCTAGCAAAAGTACATCCAATGTCACAGAAAGGTGGGAAGGAAAAGGAACAAGCGCTGGACCAGATCGGCAACTTACAGGAGAGAGATTTGAATAGTTCGCATGCATTCAGTCCACAATTAAGTCGACATTCGCACCTCTTTAGAGCAAACTGATTCCCCTTAGCCAATCCGACATTGGCGATGAAACTTTTTGCTTGCAAAAAACAGTCTCTTGCCGAGCTTCTCACGCATACTAACTCGAATGAATTTGATATTCTCCCCATTTGAAGCCGAACTAATAAAAGCAAATTGTCCACGAAACAATCAACTTAGGATGTGAACAGCAAGAGGGTTTGGTGAATGCTTTTAAGTCGAGATGCTTCAAATTTTTCACTTAAAAAATCGCATTGTAGTGAGATCTTTCAGAAATGCCTTACCCATGGAGTCAATGGCAAGACGTTACGTTTCATTTCAAAGAACAGAGCGCTTACAGTTTTGCAGACCAACATTATTTCATGATCCAATTGTGATAGTCGTTATCGTTGTCTCAAATCCATCAAGCAACACTTCTCAGGCATAAATTTGTCGCCTTTTAATATAATTTAGTGTTTATGCTTCTAACAACAAACAAAATGGGTTCGTGAGATTGCTCTTTTTCTGGAGCACTCGAAGTTGCCTTTACATCTGGTAACATGCTGGGCCCAAAGGCTTAAGGCGGTGTTAGAGGCGACTACAAACAACATAGGCGGATGCTCCCAAATCAGTGTGCCAGAGGCCTAAAAAAGCAACGGCGACAGTTGACAACCACAAGCATGCCATTTGATCCCAATTAATCAGTCTTTTCTTGACTTGACACCCTGAAGACGGCAAGGGTGAAGCCGACGGGATTTTAAAATCGTTCTTTTACAAATACAGTGAACTACTTAAAGTAAAATAGTCACTTTTCCTAACGAGGCAGAAAATAGCATCAAGCCTTAGTCTTTAGCATGAAGGCAGCAAAATATGAAATCTAGGAGCCATCTATGAAAAGTGCATTAAATTACTAAGTAGAAAGGTTTGGGCGACGATTGTAGTAACACCTCGAGGTGGCATATATGCTGGTGGAGCTGCTGACATGACCTCACTGAGAACCGCGTTAGGGTGAAGGCATCGTGCAGGTCATCACGCGCCAATGGGCAAATGTGCGTGCTACAAAGAGTTCATCAAGCTGCAAAGCCACTGGTCCTTCTTGTCAACTCTGTGGCATCAGGGATTTCATTATCCTCAGGAAAATGCATCAAATATATATCCGTATATTCATAGCCAGTAGTTGAAAATGCTGGTCTTAAAGTAGGGTTGTTTAATTGTGAAAAATAAGGTAGGTCATTGCACTTGCTTCATCCTTCAAGTTAATGTTCACCATTTCTCCCTATGAAAATTGGAGTGTTCCTCCATTTCCTCTTCTGCTGACTTCAAGAATAGGGAGAGCATAACACTGGAACAGAATATGCACCCCCGTAAAGCCTCAAAAAGGTAGCACAAAGGTGGATCCTTGAGGCACACATGGGTTCCACATAATGAAGACTAGAGATCGAGTTTTTATGGGAGAAAAGGCAAAAGCTCCGGGCCCAAAGAGACCACTTCAGCTCAGCCTGAACAATAAATTAGCTTGCTTCAACTTGTCACGTGTAAACCTGGTGCAGGGTAGGCAAAATTTGTACGTGAAGCAAATATTTAGCTGTTAATTCTGGATCGCATGATCACATACGTAGGTGCGGCAAGAGACTATTTATAGTGTCCATCGCCCCTTCGACCTTCACAACCTGACGCAAAGCCAGACGTGGTCACGCCATCTAGACGCGGGACTGTTCGATGCGAATGTAGCGAGGCGATTGGCCTGAAGTCAGTTGCTTGAATACAATAGTGTTTTGAGTGATGCGTTGATCCGCAAATAGGAAGTTGCTGCGTTGGTTAGATTAACAGCAAGCTCAATTTTGCTCTAAAATAGTCGCTAACACATTTCACAGGGTTGTGCCACCGGAAGACAATGCATAAAGCAATGCAAGTCATTGGACAAGAATATCCCTGGTAAAGACTTTAAATTTCATTTTACTTAAGGTAAAAAAAGCGTGTTTGGTGTGATCAACGAAATAATAATTTTTAAGACAAAGCTACGACCGAAATGGAAACGGTGAAGTATGACGTTGCGAATGTCCGTATTGCAATGGCAACCTTATCATCTTTTCTTCAACGGTTCCCATGCCGTTGCCGCAGAACTCTGCCAGTCGTACTGTGTGAAATAACCGCATCACTCTAAGCTGAAATACCAAGCTGCATTTATAGAGAACTTGACCACGACGAGGTTGGCAGCGCAGGGAACATTTGCAGTGATATCGACGGTTCTTACTTGCGCTCTGATGGTGGTTTGAGTCTAATTGCGTTATTTGATTGATAGACTAAAAAGGATGTCGAAAATAAAGGAAGCCTAGTTAAGCTTTTGGCACCATGGAGACAGACAACAGAGAATTCAGATAAACTACATCGACTGTCAAAGGCAAAACAACTTAAATAGTAGCCCCCAGTCATGGTGGGGATCCAATCGCAATGGAGTAAATTAATCGGAACAGGACCAGTTAAATGACAGGTAAACATCAAGACAGGAAACAGACGACCGTTCGGCTGAAGCCAAATTGGAATGTCCGTCTGTGACCTGCGTCGTTTTCATTAATGCATGCAAACTGATTGCGCTTGGTTGTGTCGGACAAGAAATGGTTGGCTTAAATACCTGAAATGAAGGAGTCTTAAGTGTAGTGGTTATCTTCCGTTGTTGAAGACACTAATTTGCAGTTGCATCTTTGCCATCGATGAAAAATAGCTTCTGCCACGTGAGGGACGAGCTCCAGCGCAAACTCAGTTGTAAGATTCAAGTTACCATTAGATGGTGGAAATGTCTATGGATAAAGGTTTACAAGTGCGGCAGCCAAGGTGAGGCTCCGCTATTCCTGTATTTCGTATCAATCTTTGTCAGACATAACCTATTTGAAGTTTGGTTCGGCGGTAAGTTCGACATCGGACAACGAAACATTCTGCTCTACTATGCGACAATACGGTAAGACTGATGACCTCGGAGATGTGGCGGCGATTACTACACCGAACCATGACAACACCGTTCTGCGCAGTCATTGTGAGGCCGTCTACATGCAGTAAATCAGGACGGCGGTACATCTACCGATCACATTTTTTAGCTAAGGCAGTCTACAACTCAACATCTTGCCAATTATGCCCACGTCAAATTACTTATCAATTTACTATCCAAACGACTCACCATTATCTGGAAAAGAAAAGTAAACAGATGTAGCTTTAAACAGTCAGTGCTGGGTGGGTGTGGAGAGTGGACTCCATCCTGCAAAACACCGACAAAATGACCGCTTCATCCTAACACGTCTGTCATACCAAAGGCTCTCCCTTCGAATCATCCAACTCCTATATTTGCTTGAAGCTAATTTCTAGCTTGCATTTGAATTTTCACCCCAATGAAGTATATGCAATGGCCCTGTTCTGGGACGAATGGAAGCAGTTTATTTGGCTGGGGGTAAATTCTTTCGCCTTTAAATAGCACCTTCAGTTGTAGTCTAAGTGTGACTGTCGAGATGTCTGATGAAAATATCGTCCCACTTTGGCGTCCAGTTGACAATAACTGATAATTCTTACAACACTCATTCCTAAGAAATGATTACGCATCGGTTT